TCTCTGTGCTAGAGCATAGTATTTATAGCTAAGGTGATCTGGCCACTAGCAACTGAGGATTTGCCCCTGGAGCATGGCCCCTGAGCAAGACGATCAGAACCGGAGTTACACGAACCATAAAAAAATCCATACAGGGTGTTGTCCATAGACCAGCAGCAGCTTGTTAGAAATGCAGAATCTGACCCGTGCGCTTGCTACCCCCATCCCCCGACTGACCCACCGAACCAGAATCTGCACTTTAACAAGATCCTGTTTACGTCAAAGTCTGAAAGCTCTGCCTCGGCTCTCTTAACCCAACAGAGCCTCATTTTCCTGCTCTGCAAAATGGGGATAAGATCTGCCCCAGAGTAATGTGGGAAGGGCTGCTAAGAATATTTGTGAGGTACCCGGCCCTGTGCTGGGCCACTGACAACAGGCTCCAACAACCACTGTTTTCCTTCCTCTTCCCAACATCACTGGCTGCTGAACAGTATTATCATACAGTCTTGTTCTCCTCAATATCTACTTGCTGGCCTCTATACGCCCACAGGGCTTTAACCTCTATGATCTTCCATCCATCTCTTCAAATCCCAGGATCGCATTTTTAAAAAGTACAAAATCCGGAAGATTGATGGGATCTAACTTCTCTCATTCAACCTCTCCTGTGAAGCCAGAAATGCCGTTTTTTAGGTCCCAGACTTACTCTTTATTTCTCACTCAAGTGTCACCTTTTAGGTGCCAGGGAGATACCAGATACTCAACAGATATTTGCCACTTGCTGGATGAATTAATGAATGAGGCTCTATGAACTCAGGCCGTTCTATTTTTTGTCTAAATCTTACTATACCTATTCTTTATGACTTACTCTGCCTTTTCATTCTTCCATTAAAAAACTCAAGTGTATCCCACATTTCCTCTGGACTCCCCTCTCACCTATCCAAGATACCTAAGAATATATAGCCACGTATATGTATATGTTACTTCATATTTATGAATTATTATAATAAGCTTGCATCTTGAGATTAGATATTTGAAGTTTGTACATTGCCAACCAACTGGACGGTAAGTTCCCTGAAGGAGAGAAGAAAAAGACCATGACATTCCCCTCTAGGAAAGTGTGTTTCCCAGTAAATGTTGGATACTGATGATCAATGCTGAAAAGTACTCATGAGTGTTGTTACTAAAGTACTGAGAAGCAAAGATCCCCGTGGGGCACTCCACTATTTCAGAAAGGATACAGCAATTAGACAGGAAAAGGAAGGTGAGCTCTTATTGGGATTCTGTGTACCTCTTAAGGGAAATCAGCAGTCCATCTCCTAGGGAAATGCCTGGCAGGCTTCACGTAAGAGGCTCCCCCAATAACTAAATGCTCCACTCAAAGGTTGCATTTACACAGCTCATTAGGAGAATTTTTTATACTTTTGACACATATTAGACTCGTAATCGTCCACCAAAGCTACTCTATAACAAGAGATAAACACTCCATTCTAGAGGATGAATAATAATTAGGTACTGCTTAGCACTGTGCTCTTTACAGGTCTAATTTTAGAACATAATTAATCCTGCTGAAGCTGCATAAGATAAGTGAAATATTTATGCAGTTGTGTTAATTCATGTATTTACTCCTAGAGAGACATTCAGAATTGGACGTGCCTTTGCGAGAAGATTATCTTAAGACACCCCCTGGAGCAACGTCATTTTCTCTCTAATGTCTTTGCTTCCAGATGGCCGCTAGAGATGAAGCCGAGAAGACACGTGTCCCAATCCTGACAGTCTGACCAGGAAAGCAATGATTGAGGACAGAAAATATGTGTAAGAATCTAGATGCTCTGCTACTACCAGCAACACACTTTTGACCTATCTGGATGCCTGTATTTTGTATTTTTTATTTGCCACAAAGAGCGCATTTTATGTTCAGCACCATAAAAGTTGTTTCCATGATACTATTAACCACCAATACAATACTAAATAGGCTATACTGAATATTGGAGTTGTGGATGGACAACAATGAGGAGGAGGTGGAGACTGGTAATGATGAGGATGGTGGTGACGATGATCATGCTGGTGATAAAATGGTGATGATGATGATGATGATGGTGGTGATGGTGATAAGGACAGTGATGATGGTGATGGGGATGGTCGTGATGGGGATGGTGGTGATGATGGGGATGGTGGTGATGATGGTGATGGGGATGGTCGTGATAAGGACAGTGATGATGGTGATGGGGATGGTGGTGATGATGGTGATGGGGATGGTCGTGATGGGGATGGTGGTGATGATGGTGATGGGGATGGTCGTGATAAGGACAGTGATGATGGTGATGGGGATGGCGGAGATGGTGGTGATGATGATGGTGGTGATGATGGTGGTGATAAGGACAGTGATGATGGTGATGGGAATGGTGGTGATGATGGTGATGGGAATGGTCGTGATAAGTACAGTGATGATGGTGATGGGGATGGTGGTGATGATGGTGATGGGAATGGTGGTGATAAGTACAGTGATGATGGTGATGGGGATGGTGGTGATGATGATGGTGGTGGTGATAAGGACAGTGATGATGGTGTTGGTGATGATGATATAATGATAATGATGGTGATGACGATAATGGCGATGGTCCTGATAATGATGATGGAGATGATGATGGTAATAGCTAGCATTTATTGAACCACTTCTATTTCCAGGTGCTGGGCCTAGCTAAGCTCTTTACAGGTCTCCTTTCATTTCATCCACATGCCAGCCTTATCAAGGAAATATTTCTGCAAGCATTCATTCACAGATGAGTAAACTGAGGCTAAGGAAGATCACCCCCTTCATAGAAGTATTTGTCAGTGGGGCAAAAGATTTCAGTTCAGAGGTATACTAGATTACTTCTTCCTGAAGGGTCTATAAATCTCACGGATACAATTATCCAACTTTGACAGACATCGTTGGGAATTAAATGAAACAGGAGTGTGACATCATTGATCCCCTTCCAGATTAAGTCCCCTGACATAGAAGCTCTACCACTTTCCATTTCCCCCTCTGTGAAATGGGCATAAGCAACACTGAACGTCATAAAGTTATCATGAATATTAAAGAACACAGGTAATGTATGCAGTCTGGCAGCTGGCTCCCAACTCTCCACCCCTCTCTGTGTCCACACCCCTGGTCATGTAACTCCAAACTCCTCCCATAAAAGGCAGAGTGTACCTCTGATCCCTTTACTTTGGGCTTGGCAATCTGACTTGCTTTAGACAGAAGGGTGTTAGCAGATGTGAACACGGCCAACCAGAGACGTGAACAGCACGTGTCCAGTTAGATGTCCTTCTCTGTGCCTGTGACATAGCCGAGAAAAGAGCTGCTGCCAGGCAGCCTGCTGCCCTTTTGGCCTGAGACCCAGAATAAACACACGCAGAGCAGAGACCACACATTTGGTCCACGGATGCACAGCAGGGGCCAGAGCCACCAAGGCCACCACAGCCTGACACAGAGCCCCTCCACTGAACCTGTACTCCCACAGGCAAAACAAATGCTTACCGGAATATGCCTCTAAGATTTCACAGCCAGAGCTGACCGACACAGCCACAAATCACGATTACACAACAGAGAACACAGATCGTGATCAGAAGAAGGTGCAAATGCCCCACAGGGAATTCACAGGATCAGACGTTCTTATTTGGGAGTTAAATATAAACACATTTAGATGTTTGATGGTACTTTGAGAGTCAAGGGCTTAATTCCGGGAGCAGAGAAGAGGGTGCATTGAATGATGCACCTTGTTCAGATCCACACCACGCTGTGTACTAACCTCTGCCCATTTCAATATTCTGTCTGACGGCAGTGTTGACAGATCTGCCTCTCCCAGCTGCAGAGGCACAGCGTCCTGTGTAACCATCTCTGAATAGGGCCTCCAGCCGTCCTTGAGTACAGCTTCTGCCCGGGGCCCGAACTTCTGTACCCCGCTCACACCCACTCAAGTCTTCAGGCGTCACTGGCCATGAGGCTCACTTTGCTTTTCCCTTCTCAGTGTTGGCAATTCAAAGGGACACCCACATGCCATTGGAGCCAGGACGGGATCCTAAAACCCATGGCGTGGAACTCTCGTGTGCTGAGGTCACCGACCAGGGAGTACAGAAGGCCAGACTGAAGGAAATGTTGGCTGGAGACACAGTCGGCCCAATTACCTACACCGATCCGTACATGCCAAAGTCCCATTAGACTGTGAGACCCACGGGGGTGGGATCTATCTTTTGGTCTGTTGAGCAAGAGGCAGACTTTATTCCTTTCTACAGACTGCTTCTCCTTCACCCCTCCACGGGATAATAACAGGAGCTGTTTGTGTTAGAACAACATAACCCCACCCCTCAGGCACTCCTGATGGGCCCAGGAAAAAGAGGTTGATTCAAAATGCATCAGGAATCCTTCCTCTGCAATGTGAAATTTAGAATTTAGAGAACAGAGCTTAGGACTGGAGCCGAGTTCATGCAGAGTCATGGTTTCTCTGGCCCAGCACTACTAACATTTGGGGTCAGGTGATTCTGTGTTTTGAGATGTGGAGGGCTGTCCTGGATGCCGTAAGATGTATGCCAGTGCCCTGGCCTCTACCCACTAGAACCCAGGAGCAAACAGCCTCCCAATCATGACAAAGATGTCTCCAGACATAGCCCAATACCCACTGGGGGCCCAAACTGTCCCCAGTGAGACCTGGTGCTCTGGGACAGATCTACGAAATCGTGCTATTAAGACTCCAGGATCGCTCTGGTTCCTGTTTTCTTTTCTCTAAACCTATTCGCTCAACCCTTCCCTCAATTCACTGAGATAGACACTTCTGCATCCTTAAAATAAATCCCCTTTGACAATTTCAGTGTCTAAAACTGGTTTCTGTTACAAGCAACCTAGAAAACGTGGTGTCGTGTGAGAGGCCCCTGACCAAGAGTGGGTGAGCTCACCCTACCAAGGTCTACTGGCAAGCCGATCAGAAAGCAGAGCGCAAGGGTGTCACGTCCGCCGAAAGTTAGGGGGTCACCCAAGGTCTTACCGTCGCCCACAAACTGGAGCAGGGCCAGGTCAATCTGCCTCTTCCAAGGGGAGCCCTTCTGGAGAGCAATTCCGTAGCCAGTGGTGGCGAAGATGTACCCGCTCCCGATGGTCACCAGCTTGCAGCCTTCGTCCCTCCCCGCCTTGTAATTCAAGACCGCAGCATCGTAGATGAAAGCGTCCAGTTTCCTGCAATGATAAAAAACCAGGGGCTCATGGGGATGGCGGGGTCCCATTTCGGGGCCCAGCTCCTGGGGCCCGAGGCAGCACCTCACACTGTCTTTCACACCACACGGGGTGACTCATGGCCACTTGGTCCCCTCGTCATAAAAGACTCTATTTTTAATGAGGAGATAAAAGCCAGAAGCTTTTCTCTCCAAGTTACAAGAGGCAGCTAAATAAAGACATAAAGAATCCTTATGCCTAAGTGAGTAAACAGTTGAGTTTGCTGGTTTGTTAAGCACTTAGCACTCCCAACAGTGGAGAACAGTGGCCTATTTAGAAAGGTTTGCATCAGACCAAAATAAACCATTAAGGTACAGGAGAATTTGGTGGAGGGTGCAGGAAGGGAGAGCGAGTACATAGGAATGATGTCTTTTCCTCCCAGAGGAAACATGTTTACTGTCTATGTATATTACAGAAATTATTACATGATAATTTTTAGAAACCTCAATAATATAGAAAGTATCAAAAATACAATTAAAATTTAAATCGCCCATAATTCCGTAATTCAGAAGCAGAGGTTAACACAGTGGTGAACAGCCTGACAAATTTCTCAGGCAGGTATACACATGTATGCTTGCACACACACCCACACCTTTAAAAAAATTCTTTTTAATTTTTAAAAATGTTTTATTATTTATTTTTGAGAGAGAGAGAGAGAGAGAGAGAGAGAGAGCAAGCGTGAGTCGGGGAGGGGCAGAGAGAGAGGGAGACACAGATTCCTAAACAGGCTCCAGGCTCTGAGCTGTCAGCACCAGGGCCTGACATGGCACCTGAACTCACGAACTGCGAGATCATGACCTGAGCCAAAGTCAGAGGCTTAACGAACTAAGCCACGCAGGCGCCCCCATACCCACGTGTTTTAAAACAGGGGTTGGCAAACTTCTTCTGTAAAGACAAGATAATCGATTAAGCTTTGTGGGCCACACAATCTCTATCACAACCTCTCAACTCTGTTGCTGTAGCATGTTTCGGGCTGGTCCCCCCCCCCACCCCCAACAAATTCCTATGTTGAAGCCCTAACCCCTGGCATGTCAGAATCTGACCTCGTTTGGACATAAGGTCATTGCAGATGTGATTCGTTAGCCTAAGGTCACATGGGGGAAGTGTGGGCCCCCAAACCACTATAAAAAAAAGGGGAAATTTGACCACAGACACACAGGCAAGGAGACCACCACCATGGGGAGGCTGGAGTTCACACTGCCACAAGCCAAGAAGCTACCAGAAGCTGAGAGAGAGGCCCCGGAACAGATACTACCCTTGTGCCCTCAGAGCCAGCACAACCCTGCGGACCCCTTGGTCTCAGATTCCAGCCCCACAACAGTGAGACCGAAAAATTGCTATTGTGTAAGCCTCTCAGTTTCTAGTACTTTGTTCTTGCAGACTTAGGAAGTGAGTACACAACACAAAAGCGGCCCTAAATAATGCAGAAGTGAATGAACTCAGCTCTGTTCCAATAAGAGGTTATTTAAAAAATTTTTTTTCAACGTTTTATTTATTTTTGGGACAGAGAGAGACAGAGCATGAACGGGGGAGGGGCAGAGAGAGAGGGAGACACAGAATCGGAAACAGGCTCCAGGCTCTGAGCCATCAGCCCAGAGCCCGACGCGGGGCTCGAACTCACGGACCGCGAGATCGTGACCTGGCTGAAGTCGGACGCTTAACCGACTGCGCCACCCAGGCGCCCCAAGAGGTTATTTATAAACACAGATTGGCCCGTGGGCCATAGTATGTCCTTGTTTCAACCTGCAAATTATCATTATTCCATACAAACCACTTCCCAAGTTGCCTTCTTTGCTTGTTGCCATGTCAATAACATAGCACATTTTTTTCCCTTTGTGGATGTATTTATTTTTATTAAGGTCGAATGAAGTGCCACATAAATTTGTACCCATTCTACATCCTGGAAATCACCACACAGATTAAGGCATCAAACGTTATCATCTCAGAAGTCCTGCATGACCCTTCCCAGCCCACGCCCCCAAAAGGTAAGCATCAAATCGTCCCTCGATACCGTGGCTGTACCTCTTTCATTAACCAGGTCACTGTCAGTGGGTATGAGTACTGTTCGCAATTTTTAAAAACATTTAACAAGGCTGAAGTGGTCGCCCTTGTACATGGGGATGGATGGCTCAAAACTAGGTAGGGATGGGATGGGATGTCCTCAAGTAGATAGAAAAGCTAAATTGGAGATTACTCGACATCCTGGTACTTTCTCAACTCTACTGCCTTTATTTATTTAACAAGAACACATAAAACAGTGAAGCAAAGAAAAATAAAAGTGGCAGGGAAAGGAGGTAAAATGTTGCATTCTTTCAGAGACAGCTGCTGAAGGCCTCCCGATGGGAATAAAACTATTTGGAAGGTTTACAGCGGCATGCTTCATTTTCATTTTTTGTTTCTGTAATGGTTAGAGGTGGGGCAAGACTGCAAGGCTCATCTCACCAACACAAAGACTCTAAAGTCTTTCTCCCAAGGCTGCAGAACTGAGGGTTTGGGATTATAGTCAGAGAGTATTAAAAGGGGATGAGATCATCCAAGTGGAAGGGGAAGGAAACTAAGCATTGTTAATGGTGATGGTAAACCAGAGCTGATGAACCAAGAGGAAACAGCCTTCTGGACAGCCAGCAATGCAGAGAGCTGTGGAAATAGGAGATGGAGAGTCAAAAACAATTTGTACATGAAGGCGGGGGAGCGTGTGACAGGAGCAGTGGATGGGCAGGTGGAGGGGCTTGGGATTCTCTAGTAGACTCAGAGACGGTGGGACCTTGGGAAACTCACTTCCTTCTTTCGGATTGCCAGTTCCTCATCTGTGAGGTGGTCACTGGGGTGCTGCTGAGATACTCCTCTAGCTGTGGCATTCTGATTCCACAAGCCAAGAGTCATCTTCTGTGACTATCAGTAGGGAAACTGAGGCTCTTGATGACATGTGTATCCTGAGGACTTGGGGCCACGGATGGTATCTGTCTTCTTCATGAAACTTACGTGCTTGCAACGTCAATACCTTAACATATTAAGGTTGCCATGGAGATGCTGGGAACGTGGGTTTTGCTGAGACTTCCTAAGCCTCATCCCACTCTCTCAATTCTCAAAAAGACATAAAACAAAAAACAAAAATACACACATACATGCATACAGGGGCATTCAAATGTTAAGACCATCTGTATGTGTGAGGTGAAATCTCTCTCTATCCTGGTAAGCCACCACACATTGAAGCGTTTCTGGGATAGTAATCCCAGTGCGGTTTTAACCGGTTTTTACTGGAAATCCCAGTGTGGTTTTAACTGCACCTGGCAACCATCGAGAGCTATCCAACAGCAGCTTAAATCACCATTTTATGGACAGGCACAGATTTTTGCAAATCATTACCATTATCTCATGACAAAATATTCTTCAGCTGAGCACAAAACGACCAGATGAGCAGAGCAGAAAGAAAAAAGGAAGTTTTCTCAGGAAACAAAGTTTGCAAAAGTAAGATGCTGTTAAGGCAGAGGGAGGACAATCGCAAAAGACCCGAGTGAATGAAGCAGTTCCACACACTGGTGTGTCTGGTGTGGGCTGGTGGCCAGGAAGGGCCACAGAGAGGCCTGGCGCGGGTCTCAGGCCCGCATCAGAACCAAAAGGAGGACAGTGCAGGAAGGAAACTGCAGGGCCCTGTGATGTTGGTTTTCTCTCCCTCATCAGTGATTCTAGAGAGCTGAGGTCTAAATGCAATGGTCACAGACACCTGCATGTTTACAAACATCCTGGGGCTTGCACAGCAATCCCCCCCACACCCCCCATAGATAGCTGGTCCTCACAGTGCTTTGCAAAAGAGAAGGGAGATATACGATTGGTATTGTTCTTTTCCTATGTGGTCTATGAGCGGAGCGGGTCCCATGGGGCTAAGGCAAACAGAAGCCCGTCTATATCACTGTCTCTGTGACAGTGCTGCCCAGTTGAGCTTCTGAAACAAACGCTCCACGTCTACTCTGTCTGATGTGGCTATCACGCATTTGAAGTGCGGTTCGTGCAAGCGGGGAACTGAGTTTTTAGTTTTGTTTCCTCGCATTAATTTAGATTCTGTCGTTAAGTGGTCACTCACGGCTGGTTGCTCCTTAAGTGGACGGCATAGCTCCAGGTGGGCAGGGGAAGGCTGTGGGGAGCAGGTTCACTCCTTGCTCTGACCCAACGAGGTATTACCTGCTCTCTTTTCAATTGAGAGAAAAATGTTCCTATTTTTTAAAAGAAGAAATTGAGACGTGCTGACATCCTCAAGAGTGGGCTCTGTGCTCAAAGACTCGGAGCCAGGGGCCTGTGTTTCCGAGCCCCAGTCTTCTCTCTGCAAAGCAGGACGGACAATCTCTGCCCTTGGGGGGCTTTGGGAACAAGGTGAGGTTACGTGAGTAAAATGTGTGCACCGTGTCTGGCACAAAACAAATGCTCAAAACACACCGATGCGTTCAATCGAATTCAGATTTTATGGCATTTTCCACGACGTTCTGGGCACTGCCTGTGACCAATCCAGTCCCGGGTACTTGACACGCATCGTCTCATCCCACTGAGTCCTGCTATCAGGGCACGGGTGGATGTGTGGCTGCCATCCCCATCGCCAGGTGAGGAAACGGAGGCAGCGGAGGGCCACGTGACTCACACCGTCTGGTGTCACCACAGTGTCTGGCCTTCCACACAGTCTGACGCCAGAGGCCACAGACACAACCACTGTGGCCACGACGTTCTGTGACACTTGCAGGGTAGACCAAGGCAAGTCTGTATTTTGCTCATGAAATTCAGACCGGCGGGCACAGCTGTGAGTCAAGCCCGGCGCTACGAGAGAAGAAGCCGGGATCGGAGCCTGGCTGCAACAGCCTCGATGGGTCAGCTTCACGTGTCTCTTTCCCAACAGATGCACAGCCACGGAGGGTCCAGTGTCTCCCCCGCAGAAACCTTCTCTCGCCCCCAGCACACCCCACCCCTGCCTTCAGGAC